TCACAAATCACCCGCTCTAAAGGATTTTCACAAATGGAGAATTATCTGCTAACCGACCCTAAATCAAAAAATTTCAGAAGTAAAGTCCGCTGTAGAGAATGCCATTGATGCTTTTCAAGTGGATTAAAAATGAAATTTATTCGTATTCATCAAAAGCAGCGGCCTATGCTTTCAAAATTAAATTCATACAACAGTGTCTCCCGATTGGAAAGAACCACCCAAATAAATGTCATCTTTGTCAGAATTTTGTTCAGTCACGTTGCGCTGCATGATGAAACTGACTTGAATATTTCCACTCACAAATATCAACAAAATTAGGATTTCTACTTGTTTTTTGTTTACTATTTTTGTATCTGAAGTGCATGAGTTAACCTTTCGGTTGGAGAAATTATATCCTTTTCTCCATTTCTTTCTGTTGAATTGTGGAAATATAGGCGTGTTCAATGTAGTTTTAAGAGTGACCTAGACTGTAAGCCTTTTGTCAAACCAGGTATTGGCCGAAGAAGCTATTCATTGATGAAACCCAAACATTATCAAAATAGTCGATCATTCAGCAAAAGAATTATCCATTAAATCCATTTCTACTATTCCGTCACAGTACGTTTTCTAAAGTTTCATCAGAAAGTTGATGGTCGTTGCACTTACCTTTTGACAAAACGTCGCTTTTATATTTTTGCAAATGAACACTGATTTCATAGTGTTTTTGTTTTTCCTGAATCACCTCTCTGTAAATTGAAGTTTCATACGCCATCTTGCAACTGTGTCCTGAGCCGGTTTTGGTGAATGACACATGTGTAGGCAAGCTGACTTAATTTTGTTTCCTCTTTACGTCAGTGATAGACCTGTCAATCTTTAATTCTTGAAGTACGTATACTCTGATAATATTTTTACAAATGTGAGGTTGCCATAGCATTTGAATTTATTTTCATAGAGCACAAATTTCCTCCGTTTGATCCGTACATGACGATAAAATTCCTTTGCGGTGATTTCAGCTCTCAAGTAAGTGCACAGTATAATTTGTTTTGACGGTTTATCAAATAGATCACTTTTATAACCGACTATCAGGTAAACGAGCAGCCACGGTCTGATTGGCTATACATGGGCGGTTTTATTATTACGGCACCGGATCTCGCCAGTCTTTGAAAAATGGCATTAACTTGGCGTTTTTGTCAAGTTTCTGCTCGATCGATAAATAAGTCAGTGGCTCATTCCGAAACAAGTTAACAGCTCACTTTAAGGGTCTCTACCGACTTTGATACCTAACTCGGGCTAAGCACGTCGCCAAATATCAGTGGACAGAAGCCTCGAATTTGCGGTTTAATTGTCACTTATCCAGCCCTTGTAAGGGCCTGTTCATATGGAAGCAAGTAAGTAAGTAAGTAGAGACTTTATTTAAAGAGGGTAGCACTAAAGCGGGGAAAGCGGGGAACCCCAGTGAGGTGAGGTACCTCACCTACCCGTGGTAAAGAAATACTTGTCTTCACGTGCAACCCCGGTGACGCGGGGTGAGGTCCAAAATGCGTCCAAAACGTCTGTTCCGATGAAGCTGCTTTTCGCTTCAATGTCGTTGTTCCAGGCAACAATTTAGCTTGATTCCGCTGGTTAGCCTGACTATAAGATTCCACGCTTAAATTGTCAATTTCATCGGCGTATTGGCGGTTTTGGAGGTGAAATCGCCTGCCCGAGGTTCCCACTTCCATGTGAATGGGTCTATTTTTGCAAGATTAGCCATTAAGCAAATGATATTTCCGACCCTGAAATCTTCCGCGCGACTGATACTGTTAAAAACACAAAGTCAGTATAATCTGAACAGCCCGAAAGTAAAATATTTACTTTTTTTAGACAAAACCTTTTCCTTTTTTTACTGGTCGAGAATCATCCGGTTTATGGAGTTTCTTTAGCCGATTTTTTGCTGTAGGAAGTTTCACAACAGATCATATCGCCGGTTGTGAGCAAGCATGTAGTCGGCTGAACGTTTGATATTTTGTAGTCACCAGTCCACATGGTCCAAATTGTTCACATTCAGGAACCGGCTGAGGACTAGGTACAAGATGCGAGATTAACCGATGTATCATTGTTGTGACACTTTTCCTAACAAGTTGGACCTACTTCAGAACATATAAGAATTGCTAATGATGTATTCATCAAGTAGAAAGCATATTGCGCCGCAAAAAAAAAAAAACTGGTTGGTTGGCAAATTAAGATGAGAAAAGCAGAATCAATTGCTTTAGAACCGGTATTTTTGGTCGAATTCGGTAACAAAAACAGTTTCCGCGCTTGTTTTCTTTCTTTTTTATTTTATTTTATTTTATTTTTATTTTTATTTATTTATTTATTTTTTTATTTTCATTTTTCATTTTCAAACACGCAATGGTTAAACCATTGGGTAAACATGCTACGGTAAATTGACGTTTTGTTACTTTTAAGTGTCAAATTTTCAGTTTCTGAGCAGATATTGGCCACCAAAAGACAGAAAGAAAAGCAAAACTGTCAAGGAAAATGTCGATGTGCTGTTTTATTGCGCAAATTCAGTTGACGGGTTTCCAACAGATATGGAAACGTACGTTTGGCCTCGCTGTTTTAATTTCCACCACTTCTTTGAGTTCACCCCGGCCTATTTCCCCCAGCATGCAATGCAGCTTGTGAATCGGGCCTAGTGCACTTAAATAAACAAAATGTATTAAGAAAGCATCCAAACAATTTGCCAAGGATGTGTATCTACATAATTTTATTAACAGCCAAGGGTGCTTTTGGTCCCAAAATACCTGCCAAAAGTGATCTCCTTGCAATATCAACGTCCACGACGAAAACAAAGAAAAATGAGAAGAGTGTATTGGCCTCAAGTAGTCAAACTAAGCACCAAATTATCAGACTGATACCTTTAGCGTTGAAAGAAATGTAGTGCCAATTAGTCTTAAAGATATATGTTTTGAGCTTTGTTTTGAAAAGGCTTGCATTTTTTCTTAAAGACAAAACATCTATATATTTTGCAAGCCGTTTGTCATTAATTGAGTTTCCATCGTTTGACATATAATTGGGCAATAGTCAGCGTTGCGTGACAGTTTGCCAATCATGATTGCATGCCGAGTATACAAAGCAGAAATTAACAACACAAACTCTTCGTAGCCAGGCAGAACATTCTCACGAAGGGTTAAAAGAAGGGTTGCTGGAGAGTCTTGCTCAGAGGAAACGCAGACAAGGTTACCAAGTTGGGTACATTGGCCTAAAGCTCTCCGATCACCCTTTTCTTTCAGACGGTAGACGCGATTGTGGAAGTTGACTAAGACGCAGTGCTTGGAAGAGTTTTGTGCTCCCATACTGAACGTGAACAAACATGAATACAGAATACATCTCCATGAGAGGTAAGACTTGATAAGTGTTGTGCAAAAAGCAAAGTAGATAAAATCTTAGGAAGGACTATTTGTTTCGATCGTTGATCAAGCTGGAATAATTTGCATGAGAATCAGGTAAACTTTGAAAGTTGAATAAAACTTAACAAAATCCTTAGCAATGCAAGCTTGTTTAGTTTGGATTTAAAACTTTCAGTGGCAAAATGGTTTAGTTTTAGCAGTGTCGAGGTGTTACCTTTAAGATGAAGACATATATTTAGAGGAAAGGCTATTTTGTCGCCAGTTCCCATTGAATGCAAAGATCTGAGTTTAAATGTATTTAGCTTAAGTCGTGAAAATGAATTAATCCAACCAAAGTTTGCGCGGTCTTAACTATAATCAACAAAAGAAAGAAATCAATATGATTTCGAAATTACGTCTATTTTAAGTAACACAGCAGCTGAGATGTTTAAAGATATTCAAAATTTATATCCAGTACGTCAACATGCATATAAAAACGCGCCTAATACCAACTCTTTTGTTCTTTTTGACAACGTCTACTGTTTATGGCAACTGAAACGGAACATAAATAGACGAGAAAGATTTGACTGATTATCATTTCATGCTCAAGAGCAAAACATCACTAGACCGCTTGTTGGCATTTTTTTTTTTTGCCTCTCCCGGTTTTGAAAAAAAAATTAAGTATATCAATAGAAAGTATTTTGAGTAACAGATACAGTTCTGCTCTCTCAATTCATCCCATTACAGCGACTACCATCTATAGGTAACATCGATCAAAAGTTTGCTGTCTTATAAATTTCTTATTGCCTGAACTGTGGTGTGTTGTATGTAGGTTTATTATGCACCCTAGTCGTTAAGGAAAAAAAACTAGCTTATATATAAGGAAAATGTGTGCGTTTCATTGGAAAATATGCAGGAGAAATAACGCAAGTATTTGGTCAATAAATTTCACAGTTCATCGCTCCAGCATTAATTATACTGATTTAAAATAATCATCGTGATAAAATCCGCCAATCCTTGAGCATGGTACTCGAGATGCAAACCCTTTACTTGAACAGTTGAACACTCGTGCAATCGATTGAGTTAAACAAAACAGTCATTGGCCTCCCGTGACACTCTCAGAAATGGTCCTACTCAGTTTTCTGTGGAGCGTAAGCAGTTAAGAGAAATAAAAACTGATTATACGACATGGCCTCATTTTAATGACAAGTCTTCTGGCCCTCCCTGTGAGCAATCCTCCCTTCTTTAAATCTTAAAAAGTTACTTGTACATTCGCTAAAACAATTAGATTATTCGCTTTCGATTTCTATAAGGCTTTAGTATAAATCTACTAGCGTTCTATCACGAATGCCGATCTCTGATTGGCTACGCTACTCACTATCTATTCTGTGATAGATAGTTAGTAGCGGAGCAGTGTGTCCTTGTTAACAAAGTGACGGCCGCTTCTTGGCGTTTTCAAAGTGTCTGTGAAGAGGATTTAGATTAAGTTTTGAACGACCAGTAGATTTATACTAAAACAATTAGATTGTTCGCTCTCGATTTCTATCGCGCGATAGAAATCTCGAACTCATAATCTAATTGTTTAGCACATAGTAAATGATGCCGAAGACCGATTCAACTATCACCTATCAGAAATATCAAGTTCATAATCTGATTGTTAAATAGAAGCACACTGGCTGCAAACCATGGAGCACGTATGTCCCGGATGTTGTGTTGCCAGCATAATCACCGCTCCTTCTCAGTTGTAGATATTTTCGCTTTTTCATGCTATATTCTAAGCCAAATAGAAAATAATGATCCTAGGTTTTCTAAGAAAATAATGCACTATCGAGATCTGGAAAAACTGATGGACGCACTCGGGTTCGGGTTCGCTCGAGCTTCCACCAGCACTTTTTCAGACGTCCTCAAGCGTGAATTGTTTATTTATTTGTTTATTTATTTTTTATTATTTTTTTCTTACAGCTGATCAAATGGACAGGCACCAGAAGGTTTTCACTCGATGGATTAACCTACAGCTGGCAAAAGTAAGAATTAACGCTTATTGTCAACCTTACAACTCTTGTTGCAAAACATTGGTCAATTATTCTGATTCATTTTACAATAACAATATACTATCATGTAAACAGGGCAGAATAATTAAGGAGGCAATCACCATAGCAACACATTGATCAATTCCTTATTCTCTTTACAATAACAATATACTATCATGTAGACAGTGCAGAAGAATTAAGGAGGCAATTACCATAGCAACACTGCACTATTTCAACTCTGAATTCTTCAGCTAGAATCAGTCACAAGGGTACTTTTATTCCTAATATAAGGAGAGTTTCCATAAATATTTCAATCGTCTGAAAATGAGTTTGCCGAAACCGAGTAAATATCTTTCACATTCATAGCGAAATAATCCCGATTTTCAGCATTTTTCTTTCTGCTTGCACCATTTTTTTTTTCTCTTTTTCTTCTTTACAGAAAAAGGGACAAGAATAAGATCAAGGGGGACTTGAGTGAGCCCAGGTGGCCTACAAATTTATAGTCGTTCATGAAATGCTAGAAATGTGCGGCAAATCTTACTGAAATAATTGTTTATTTACGTGCACGATTCAAAATTGCTACTTCAAACGACAAAAATTTCATCAAAAATGCGATACAAACTGCCTGTGTCAACGAACGTCAAGAAAATAAATATAAATAATTAAAATCCTATTCACCAACAAGTTTGTCTTGTTCAGGTGAAATATTATGATTTTTTCTAAAGTAAACCTCGACTTGGTCAACCATAATATTTCTAAATCTGCACCTCATGCGTGGTCAATAACAGTTACCTAACTATGTCTTAATAAATTTGGATGACTTCATTTGGGATGACCTGGATCAGGATAATGATCACACGGATCATGGTACATTAAAGGAACTGGTGAATCACTCTGGTCACGGATTTATCGGCCCATTTGCTGCACCCTGATCCGAGTGATCTTGGATCACTGAACCTGATCCAGGCTCCCCAAAGGAACGCACCCTAATTTTCACTGACTCTGCGAAATCTTAACCAGTTACTGTAACCAAACTCAGCACCTTTCAATTTTTTTCTCTTATGAAGGCAAACCCTCCTGTTAAAGTCACTGACCTTACCGATGAACTCAAAGATGGACAGATACTGCTTACTCTTGTTGAAGTGCTTCTCGGAATTAAAGTTTCAAGAGAGACGAAGAAAAATCGCATTAGCTACATCAAAAATGTTCAGGAGGCTATGCGAATTCTGGCCAGAAGCAAGGTACATATGTGTCTCAATTACAACAGATCTTAATTTAGTCCACCAAGGACCTAAATTAAGTTAATAATAATGATAATAATAATAATAATAATAATAATAATAATAACTGTTTATTCACAAATCCATAGGAAAGTGAAAAGGAGATAAAAGAGGTGATCCTTTTCTAGTTTATCTCCTGATAATAAATAATGCTATTACAAACGGACTCGCAAGTAGACACAAGTTGAAAACTTGGGTCTAATTGCAACTCCGTTTGGCCAGGCCTTGCGTTGACTTGCGATGGCTATTTAACAATTGGACCCGTAGCCCTTGCGGGCTACGAGTCAATAGCCCATGAGGCGAAGCCTCATGGGCTATTGACCCGTGGCCCTTGAGGTCGAAGGGTCTAACTGTTTTAGTGTCACCCAACTAGTCGGACAGAAAAGGCAATAACAAAGTTAGCAAATGTAAGTTGAAGAAATATTTATTTGGGAATAAAACGAAAGAAAGCGTCACGCTCGATTGCGCCAATTTCGCTACTCGAGGACTGTTACTAATAGTCCTCTAGTAGCGTAGCCAATTAGAGTGCAGGATTTGCATTAGTCCACTAGTTGGGTGATACTAAAAGCCATTACAATGTACCCAATTTGAAATCTTTTTATTCATGTCTAGGTTCGAACAGCTGGTGTTATTGACAGCGACATAGTGGCTGGAGTTCAGCGAGCCTCTTTAAGCTTGATATGGAGTATTATCCTACAATTTCAGGTATTACTGTGAGTTTGTCTTATTTCCGAACCTTTCTCACCCGTGCCAAAGTTTCCAGAAATTTTGATCGCATGGAAAGCCACAAATATTGCGTGAAACTCAAAGATTTGGCTAATATTTGGTTAAAAAGGATCAAGGGAATCGTCCGGGAAGACCCATGGGCGATTGGCGGAATCTGCATGTTGCTTATTTCATCAGTTGATAAGTAAGTTATGAATTCAAATATTACAGTCAAACCAAGTGAAACGTACTCCCAAGATTACCTTAATGAATTGATTATTTGAACATTGAACCCGCTAGAAGTTTCAAGAATGCAATAATGAATTAATTATTTGAACATTAACCTCGTTAGTCATTTCAAAATCAATATCAAATTGATTTTTTTTTTTATAACATAAACCCATTATTTTTCGCCGTATTCTTGGAACAAATAGCGATAATCAATCCATTAATACATACTTGAAACGACTAGCGGGATCAATATTCAAATAATCAATTCTTTAATGTAATCTTGAGGGGTACGCTTCACTTGGCTTGACTGTAAAGTAAATGTTCTTTGTATAGGTCACTGAGACAATCCAGCCTGCTCTAACGGATTATGGGGTGGACAAAAAGCTGTTAGCTTGGTGTCAGGATCGCCTAAAAGGGTGAGTAGATGCCATTGATAGGACAGTAGATTAAGATTTAATTGACTGTGTGTTTAAAGAAAAAAAAAATCAATTCCTTCATCGAATGATACGTAGCAGATTTCAACCATCAAGAGAAAAAAAGTTCATATATAATATCTTATCGAAAAACAAAACAAAAAAATATGCATGAAAATTTGAACCGAAAAATATGGGTACTGCTTGAGAATTCCTGCGCTATTTTTACCAATAGTTCGTCCCTAAAATCATTCATTAAATAGGGAACCTCCTTTAACGTGTGTTTTCTGCTTTACAAGACGCAAAACAAGGCTCACTGGTGTTACAACACTCTTTAAGCATTATTTGCCACAGCCCTTAAAGTAACATTTACCTAAAACTCTCGACATTAATTCATCGATCATTGCGGTCTTGCCTCCACTAGATACAAAGAGAAAGTCAGTGTGTCTAACTTAACTAGCAGCTGGCTCGATGGTGTAGCGTTCAATGCGCTTCTTCATTCCTTCAAGTAAGTTTGTTATTCGGTGAAATCATGCATATATATTGGTATAAAATAAAAGTAAAGTCTCCATACGAGCCAGATGACCCAATCGGCTAGCCCCTATCTCCGGTGTCAGTAGCACGAAGCGATTAAGAGTATTTCTATTCAGCTCCCCCGGATAGGATGCGAGTCCATCACAGGGTTACCCCCCAGCATTAAATTCGCCGGTACCCATTTATACCTCTTGGTGGAGAGAAGCACTTTGATAGCAAAGTGTTTTGCCCAAGAACACAACACAATGTCTCCGGCCAGGACTCTAACTCTGACCGCTTGATCTTGAGGCAACCGCGCCTCCACCATTTTGGTTTAGGTTTGGGCATATTTCTCTGGTACTATCCCTCAGTTTCAGTAGTCATTTTCACTTTTTCAGTAGTTGGATTTAAGTAAGGACTTATTAATTGAGGTTTTTATCAAAATTCCCTGGGATTTGTAAAGGCAAAGGTTTGTATGAAGTCAGAAAGAAAACTTGTTATATATACTTGTGGCTGCCTACGAGAAATACACCTAGTGAATGTTCTTGTTACAATGTATTTATCGAGCTTATTGACCTTAATTTCCAGCCCCTCCTTGTTCGATTTTGATGCAATCAGTGCCGATTATCTCGAGAAGCGAGTTACGCATGCATTTAATCTGGCAACCACCTCATATGGTGTACCACCCCTTTTCGAATCCAAAGGTAAGGAAAAACGATTGACATCACACTTAAAGTGAAAGACGATGACTTAAGTTATTAAGCCTCATCATTTCATTTCTTTTTCACACCACTAGTGATATTTGTATAGCTTCCCCTTTTATTTCTGTTTATTTTCCTTTATTGTCAATTAAAAAAAGAAATAACAGCTAAGATAAAGAACAATAATCAATAATAAAAGAAAAACTCTACAAATCGTACTAAGGGCGTCAAAAAGAAATGTTCTTAATTCGTTTCCATTTGCAGAAGGAATGTTCAATTATACTTTTAGTTAATGCGGGTTATTGCCCTATATCCTGGGAAATAACCAGTACAAATACTATGTGGCAATTTACATGCTTTATATATTTTAAGTACCATAACATGGGCTTGTTGTATCCTGTTTGTTACAAGATATTGGTACGGACTCACCGGATAAGAATATGATAACGCTGTTCTTATCATATTTGTATCAATCTGTGGAGAAATACGCATGCTGCGTTGAAGTCTCGAGGAAAGAAGGATCACTCTCCGGGGTTACGAGAAGGGTAAGTGGCTTCCTAAAATAACTTTACAGTATCATTGATAGATAGCATTCCTAAGCTCTTAGAGCTGTCCACTGTTACTCGATTACAACTGAAATTTCACGAGAATTAGTTTTGTCACCACAGTAAAGATTCTTCGCTAAGCTTTGTGTGGAATAGCCCTTTAGGTGCATATGTAGATATGGTATTAAAGGCCAAATGACAAAATAGCAAAACTGACTTTTTTCGCGATGGTATAGTAGCTAGCTAATTCTAGTTTTAGTTTGCAAAGTACGTACGTTTTATACTAACTAATATTATTATTGTATCAATATACAGCCCGATTTTTCGAGCCCTCCATCTTTTTTTCTTTTTCTTTTTTGTTTTTGTTTTCCGATTGGCGAATAGTTACTTGAGAGCCTAACTCTCATTTTTGAGCGCTCTCGATTTTTCTGTTCCCTAACCGGTTCCAAAAATCGGGCTGGCATCTTAGGTTAATTAAAGTACATCATTCATTGTTTTCACCTGGACTCTTTTGGCCAGGAATATGAAGTCGAGACTACTTCTACCAGTTTCGAGAGCTCGCGATCAAGTGGCGCCACGTACGACGTTAAAACCTTTACCACAACACGTGAAGAAAGGAACGATGGAGTGTTCCATGACAGCAACATAAACAAGGAAGTGGGGCATGAGCGAGTTTTTAATATTCAAGGCTTTCCTACAGAGATCCAAATTTCAGAGGTAGGACATGGAAATGGGATGATAGTAAAAAATGTTGTTCAAATGTTGTTGTTGTTGTTTATAGTGGTCAATGCGCTTCGCCACGCCTAGCTAGTTCACAGGCATACCACTTAAACTGGAAGAAACACATATATCTCCTAAACATAATAGGTTAAAAAAAACCAAATTGGCGGGAAGCAGAGCAGTAGTGGGGTATTTACAAGCATGACCGAGGAGTTGAACTAGGGTCTACCGAGAAACAACCCAAGCGAAGTGGCCAGAGCAGGGCTTGAACCCGCGACCTCCAGACTATTTTTACTTCAACTTCAAGACTTTGTTTTTCAGTGCTTTAAAATTAAAATCCTAGTCCTTTGCATTTGACATTTCGGCCTATATTTGGCCGATTATTTAACACTCTTTAAAAAGCAGATTTCTTGATTACTTCGAATAATCCGTCTGTCAATTCCTAAGTGGAGAAAAAAACTTAGCTTCTACAAGCAGAAACAAAATCTTCATTTTTTTAAGGGTTCTTGCGCAATACTGTTGTTGCCAAATTAAGTAAGAACATGTTGGATCCGATGTCAATTGACCTCAGTTGTCACAAAATACTGAGCTGATGACTGGAAAATAATTGTTGCTCACTACTGAAGCATTTTACTTATTCGCAATGCGTACTTGTGTGTGGCTTATGTGGTAATCTATACTGAAGCATTTTACTGCAAATATATTCGCTTGATCAACAGTCGCCTCTCTTTTTTTCATGTCAAAATCATTCACGTTTAGATTAAATAAATTAAACGCAATAAACAACTGACCTCGGCTGTTTCCAAGCCCAGAAGCAATGCTCGGATTCATTCTTTCTCTTTCTTTCCATATTTTCAGCGAAAAGCTTTTGTCGTGTCTCCGTTTCGAAAACCTACTTCAAGTTCTTCTAGAAGTTCCTCCTCAGCTTCAAGTCCAACCTTCAAGGATTCGGAAACTAAGGTAGCCTGAATCTTTAAATTATCCTTCTCTGTCGGTGCTGCTGCTCATACATGCTGCTACGCTGTTTCAATTTGTCTTATTCTATAACGCTTTGCGAAAAAGAATTTCCTCCCTCCCTTCCTCCCCTTAAATCACGAAAATAGAAATTCACGTTTCATGTTTACCTTGCAAGCAATCACCCAAGATAATCATGAAATCACGATTCACAAAACAAGCATTAACTTACCACAACACGATCTAAGACTATCGTTTCCGAGTTCAGTTCAACTAGAGGTCGATAGTCTAAGTTTGGTCATCATTCAGGTATTATTTCTCCCTGACTCCCTCATCCAAGTTGACGATATTTCCGTGGAAGCCTTTAGAGTTATCTGACAACCTGCGTTTAACTTGCAATGAATAAGCATTACATTGGGCTTTCAAATTCGCTTCTTATTATGACGAGTGTGCTGGTCACGTGGCTGGCAAGCAGGCCTGTACTTTAATGATTTAACTGAAGTCCCAAGTTATACACTATAAGTTCAGCAAGGACGTTTGACGATTTTCTAGATCAGGTCTATTTTTGGTCCAATAATTTTCCCCCGTTCTCGTGTAACAGGTATAAAATGATTGAATAGCTTTAATAATTTAAGTTTCGAATCAAGCCCTGAAATCATAATGCATGTGCTGTGTATGGAAATAATGTTTTTTTTTTGCCAAACGCATACAGGATTGAAATGGTCCTTTGATCTGCAATGTAACAGATCATCCTCGTGTGTGTATTGAAATTGCTGATTTGAACATATTGTTAAAGTCAATAGTGACTTTATGCATTTTCATTTTCTCCATTTCTCTACCGCCTAACCTTCCTTTTGTAGGAGCTTATGGAGGAGCCTTTAAAGTTCACATCATCTCCTGAAAGGTCAGGAAAAGAATCGTACGCGTACACTGTAACAACGATACAACGAAGTATCACAACAACAGATGACTATGTCACGTCCACACAGACTACCAACGAGGTATATGTTTGTTTCAATCTGCAATTCACCTCGCATTTCTTACTTCTTTCTCGGAATAATCACAAAATAAAGATATGCAAGCGACCTAAAATTCAATCAAAACATCTCTCTGGACTATGATAGTTTTACAGCGATCAGACACAAACCTCCAACGCCACTTCCTAGTTTCGACTGAGTTTGAACGGAGCATTTGCAATATTTGTATGAAACGTTATAAAAAGAGCAGCGGTAAGCCAAAACACCAACCGTAAACTAAGTGGATAGCAACTGCTAAATTTCCTATACATGTGCAGCTACAAAGCTTGCTATTTTAGTCGAGCTTTTTGAAATTGGGCTTAAAACTTGGAGAAAGTTGAAAAGAATGTGCGCGTGGCGTCTTTGACCGCTATGAGACTAGTAGAATAATAATTAGCTGGACAAGGTAGCATGCAAGATACAGACAACTTGACTCTGCTTTTGCCACCTAACAGTTGTTCAGCTCTGAAGATAATCAAAACGCTTCAGCAGCCAAGCAAGCCACAACGGGAACCCAAGTAACAATCAAGGGTCAGGACAGCTTCACGAAAGGAAAAACAGGAGACGATGAAAAGGTAATGGTATATTCAGTTAGGGCACTAAGAATCTACTTGGCTCAACTCCACCAACTGTTGCTTGGTTTTTGGTTTGCTTATAGTAAGTAAGTAACTTTATTTAACCAGGGAAGCAAATTCAGAAACGATGCTGGTATCCATACGGGCCCTGGGGAATACGAATATGTGCAATTTAGATTTTATATACATGAATATTATTTCCACTGCTTATCTTCCTTGAGGAAATGAATCCTCGCTTTCATAAGATGACATGAACCTGTATCTTCAAGCTATGTTTTTTTTCTAACAGATCACTAGCCAGAGTCGCGACGGTTACGACACAGAAAAGAAACTTATATACACAGTTGAGGGAGAGGTCAGTATCAAAGATTTTCAGATACATATTATATTTGTAAATAAACAAAGAAAACTATAGTAGAATTGGCACGTTTCACGCGATCGTAGGAGTGCTCGATACAAAGACAATATACGCGGAATAGCTCGAAATTAGTTGACGGTTACTCGAAAAACTAGAGAAACTGTCAACTAGCTTTTATCAAAAAGATTTTATGGAGGGGGCGTGGCTTATTGGTTAGGTCGCAGGATTTGTGACCCAGTGGCCTCGGGTTCAAATCTTCCTCCTGCCACTAGATGGGTTTGTGTTTGGTGGTCTCAAAATCAACTCCTCCAAGCTTTGTAATTATAAATAGCCATCTGGTCAGCCTCCCGCCGCAATTAGTACAGTAGTGCTAAACACTCAGACACTTAAATAAAGTGTTTTTTTTTTCTTTATTCGTATCTTTGTAAATATGCAGGATATATAAATAAGACAAAATAAATTGTCGCATTTGAGCATTTCTCAGTTACTTCGGTGTCCGTGTCAGGGTAAATAGCTTACTTTATACAGCGAGGTTAGTTTTTTTTTTTTCTTTTTTCATAGACCCTTTTCATAAATGGCTGCTGATTATCAATTTCTTTTGAAAATGTTAGTTTTAATAGTATTACTGCGGCGGTGATATTTTCATAATAGTTTTGAATAGTTCTAATCAGTATTTAATTTGTGATTTTTACCTGATGAATTGTGATATTAGCGTTATTTAGTTGTTAGGTTCTCATTAGTTATTAGGTGGAATACCTGTAAACTAGCTATCAAGCTAAGCGTATATCCACGTTAAATAAAGCATTCATTCATTCATTCATTCAATGTTCAAATTAGCCTGACCAACCTCGTGTTTGAGGTGATAATTCAAAAGACTTGTTACTCTCAAATGACGTTATGAACGTTATGCTGTTTGTTACATCGGTAGTAAATTCTTGAATGTACACGCTTCCGTTTAAGTGATAATTAGTTAAAAGTTGCGGGGAGAGAAAAAGGAAACGAAGCTTTATTGAGGCCGAACTTGGGGTAAAAGGTCAACTTCGGGCTCCCAGAGTTCCAGTGGAATAGAAATGGCAGCCATATTTGATACAGCCACTTCATAATTACAGACACCTCAAGCTGCAGGTGCAGGTGCAGAGAACGTCACAACGGTGACTGATGTTACAAGGGAAAAAAGAACATACAAGGCAGTAGATAGTGTTGGAGTAAAAGAAAACATTGGAAAAGGACAAGAACAGGAATCTGATGACAAAGCTGCCAATCAGCGCTCTGGGAATAAAACAGTCACACCAAACAAGGAAACAAAGGACGAAGAAATCAAAACGACTGTACGTTTGTATTTTTCAAATATGTAAACTATGGAAACAGCAAAGTCATTACACTGAAGAGAATGAAATGTTCCTCAAATACAGAATGTGAGACGTGCCTGCAGAAGGTCATGGTAGTTGTATTCAACTAAACAAACATCCAGTCCAAGATGATGAATACAACTACCATGGTTCCCTGCAGGTGCATCTCACAGAGGGAATAATTGCCACTGGAAATAACTTTGACGCAAATATACCAAAGAGAGCCATGAAAATCACTGATTCAAAATTCAATTTTGGTTTGCCCAGTGACTATATCATTGCCTGGAATTTCCGAACATTTCTTTTCAGGTTGTAAAAAGATCGAGTGGCAGCAGAGAAGTTTTGTTGATATCCACGGAAAGCATTTCAGGTGAGGGCACGCCAAAGACAACAGAACTTGCTAAGGCAACTTCTTGGCGTTCAATTAGCCCTGACAAGAATGATGAACCAGATTCAGGCGAATCCCCGATTCAATATTTCAAACATGACAAGGATGACTCAACTTCTCCCAGGTAAAGTTTCAATCAATGTGAAGCTCCAGGTATGGCTCTATTCTCAACAGAATGAAAAGTATCTATTTTAATATTATCATATTACTACATGTCAACTTTTGACTGCCGAAAATTTAAATCATAGTTAGGGAAATAGTTAGGAAGACCGGTAAATATCAAAGAAGCAAACATACAGGCCTAAGATTAACGTTGGAAGGTGCTTGACCCTGTACATCTTTTGGTTTCTGATTAGACTATGCATGAGTTACATAATCGCAATGCGTCTGTTTGTTATTTGTATGAGCACACATAACCATCTTTTACATTTTGCCATGTTTAATTTTGTACAGGGTTAACCCCCAAAATAGCCAACAAAAACATACAACAAAGAACTTTGCCAGGTTTCCTAACCATTTCCCTCTATTAACTATGTTTGCATGTACATCGCCTTCAAGCTACAAAACATGTGCATGTAGCTCCATGTCCTTGCGGTTCACGCAGTCAGGAAGCTCAGCTAGCTTTCTTCTCTGGCTTATTACCTGCAGCTCCTTCCTTGCAACGGCTCGGTATTTAATCCCCCTGCGTACCCGACTTCGATTCGTATTCGTTTCATCTCCATCGCTTACACGCATTTTTTCTACAATCTCTATTTAACTTAGGGAGTAATAATGAAGGAAAAGCGCGCATAAAATGCGAAGTAAAGGAAAATTAGCGCGTGAAAAATTTAGATTTAAAATTGACCAGCATGACGAGAAAAAAATATGTTTACGAAAGATTTAGTCTATCAGTTCCAATGTTACTTCATCATGTCAAACTGACATTATGCTTTTTAGATACGTGACACAGATTGAGATCAATTTGGGAGGAGAAAGAAAAAATACAGGGTAAGGAAAGGTATTGCTTCCGTTTTCAATTCGTACCACAAGACAATTATAAGCACAAAACTGGCATGCACTCACAAAAGCACAGATGAAAATGATGCACACTAATCAGCATCAACTAACGAGAAAACAGAATTTTTTTTTTCTGTAATTAAGATAGGTATCTCTTTCCCATTGGTTTAATCTTAATGATTGACTTACTAACGTGAAATTGATTAAAGGGAACTAGCGTTACCATTACCTCTGTCATGTCGCTATCTTTTATAGCTAGATACAGAAGCATGCACATAACGCTTCTATGCCGCTAACCCGCCTGTTAATACTCTCCCCAATTTTTAAGTTCAATAACGGAATAAACCCCGACGATTCTTTAATTACTTTAATATCCATGGCTTTCCATTAACTTAACGGTTACTATCTGATGACTAAAGCAGGAACAGAAGACAGGTGAGGTCATAGCTGAATAAAACTAATAATGCCTGTGTGATAAAACAGCTGCAACAATGCTTGATGCAAATCCTCATATTTATCGGAGATGTTGTAATTGAGATGTTTGTCATTTGTTTTTGTCAACATAGATTCAGTTGATTAGTGTTTGTTTCCTAAAATTGTATTAGAGGAAAATTGTGTTCTTTACAAGTACGTACACTTGATATGGTAACATCTCGTGAAATACAGTACCTCCATGCATCCCTTTTACGAGGGGAAACTAGGAACGTAATTTCAGACATTAGACGTAGAGTGCTCTCTAGGTTGTGGAAGTACAATGACAAAATGTTTGCTACTAGTGTATTCTGTATATCTAAGTTTTCGATAGTCCATCACTTACAGGAATCTATTCACACCGAAATTTGCTATTGTCCAAAATTCAATCCTTGTTCATTCTTAGAAGTAGAAATATGAATTTCTTTCGTCGTTGTTATGGTAGCTGACAATTTCGCATCCACAGAATTACCGTGACAAATAACCCAATCCACCAGAATATTTTACAGGCACGAGCCAGTATAACCCTGTGTAACAAGATTAACTACGTTCCTTGCAAAAACCAATCGAAGAATGTTTCGATGATTCAGTCCGTGCCAGTCATTGACTGAAATTTATAAGAGATGGTTATGACTTGTGTGTATTTTCAGAGGCTCTACCAACTTCGTTGATTATCTAAAGAGGAAATTAGATGGAGTAGATCAGAGGTTGTGTGATCTGGAGTACGGCTCTAAACATTCCGACAAGGATTCCATGGACTTGAAGACCACTAAGAATGCTTTGGATCAGCATAAGGTCATCCTCAATTTTTTATTCTTTTACTTTATATGTACAAATATTGTTACCTTTTAAATGTACTAAATTTTCCCTTTGCTTTTAACAGCAGTAATGACACATATATTTTATGAACAGAAGTCACTTTTATGAGACAGAAAAGTATGTTATAAATTTCAATTTAAGAAAGAAATTCCCTCGACCATTATCTCCTCTGTAAGCCTACAGCTGAAATCAAATACAACAGCAGAAACAAATCAATAGAAATAGCAGGATCTCATGGCATTTAAAACGCGTTATTTTAATCCAGTCCAAGCCGTGTTGTAATGAAAGTATAAGTGGGTATTTTTTGTACAAGACCAAGACAAACTGAAGTTGTAAATACGAATTCTCTGAGATCCCAACTGATTCCTGATAACTTACTTGAGAGCCACCAGGTGATAACAAATCTGTTTAATGTTATTCTGCCATCCTCGTGAAATAAAGCCTTTACCCAGTTTACCCACTTATTATGCTTTGGTCGTTAAGCACCTTAAACGTAACCTAGCGTTGTGTTTGTCTTTAAAAGGAGGTAATGTTTGAGCTGGAGTACGTCGAGTCCCAGACTTATGATGTCTTAGAAGAAGGAAAGAACCTGGTAAATGAGAGATGCTTTGACCATGCACACGAAGATTACTTCAACGATAGAATGGATGCAACGGAAGGCAAACTGAAAAGGCTCGAGGACAGCATCAACAAGGAACATCAAAGGTAAATTGTGCACTATTCTAGCTAAAGAACTCTTTCGTTGGCCTATGTAAACATTGTTTGGTTGTAGAGCATCAGTGGAAAATATGGGAGGACGAAAAATGCTCTACAATCCCCAACTTGTTGGGGATTGTAAAAACGTCAAACGTTCGCGAGTATTTCTATATCTCAACGGAAAGACGACGAAAATGTGATCTATCTCCTTCAGAAAACACTGCGAGAAAAAGAAGGAATATCACTTGTTTACTTCAACGATTAAAATGTAAATTCTCCTTGCTCCACCATCATGCACAGCTCTCGCCATTTCTTAATTTCTATCGAGTTCTAAATGTTTCGTCTTTAGAGCCGGCTTTTTTTATAGCCTGCGTGGCACGTGTCCGAAGGGGAAGGAAAGGGGAAAAAACGAGCGATCGAAGTGCGTGAGGGTAGGGACGCCTCCTCGAGGAGTGCTCTATTCTTCCGCGCTCATTTTAACCCTTTCCCTCCCCTTCTACGGCCTGCCACGCAGGCTAGCTTTCTTACAAGGTTTACTCTGATTTCATTCTTCATTGCACCAGGTTGTTGGACCTTTATATAATTTTACTCAAACAACATTTGGAGCGAATGAATGATTGGCTGGTCCGTGCAGAGTCCCGGCTGCAGTTAGACGATGACGTGGAGCCAACTTATGAGGGAGTGCAGACGCAAGTCACCAATCATCAGGTTTAAAAGTGACCTTAACTCCATGATATTGTACATGCGAAGTTCTTCATGTAATTAATTGACGTAATCGTCTGGCGTTGTTTTTATCCTGATATGAAAGACTTATACTTGTATAAACTTCGATATTTAGGGTAATGTTAACAAATGAACCGCACTTTATTTTCCATGGACTAGTTAAGCAACGATAGCTCTTTCTAGGGGTTTGCCGGCGCAATAAAATCCCGCAGGATGTTGAGAGAACACGAGAAAAGCTAAGCTTGTAAATCACGAGTCGTTAAGCGAATGATTTACAAGCTTTTCTAGTGTGCGTAATACATGTATTTCAGATATTTTATTTTATCCTAATAAAGCTGTTTAAACCCCAAACCGAGCCATGAGTCAGAGGCGAGTGGCTTCATTGCAAAGTTCAAGAAATTTATGACGTCATTCCTAGGTCTAAACAAATATTAATCAAATGGGAAATTTAGCTGACAGTAACTTTCCAAAAGTTTGAAAATAAGACAATGAATCTACTTCTGATGTTTTGATAGAAATTTCAAGAGGAGTTGGCAAATCACTCCATGGTGAACATGATCTTAGACGTGGACTTGGAAGATCCTGCTATAGATGAAACCATCAGGGACTGGGTTAAGGTAGGACAATATCCGAACATTGGTTAAACAAATTATGTTACTACCAACACCAGAAGCTTACAACTTCTGCCGACACGTAATCAGTCGTCTATTGTAAAATAATCTTGCACGTGAAGTGGAGATCTTCTTTCGCGCTTCTTGCTACTTTCTGTAACTCAAAATCTGGGGAAGAGATACATTGTACTGTTAATAAGATCCACCGCACAGAAACTTCCGAACCACTTCCCCCCAATGAGATTGTATAATATCACATTTGTAATGAATATTCTCACATTTTATCTCCACAAATTATTTCTTCACAATTAAAAGACTATTATAAATCATACTGAAAAGTTTAGCCTAAATTTTTCAAATTCGTCGTTTGCAATCCGTGTTAATCTTCTCCATCCTTAGCCATCCTCGTTCCTTTATGGTTTATCATTATGTTTTTGGTGTTTTTCTATCTTATTGAACTGTTATTTTTAGGTTTCCTATCATTTAAAGTTAATTTTGTATGTGGCCAAAATAACTTAAAATACCGTGACTGAGCCCCTTTAACGTTTAGTTAAAACGAGTGGTTGCAAATCGTGTATGGTTACGCTCTCCACTCTGGGGATTCTTTATCGTTCCCTGAATATCGTGAATTCATTGTGTGCCAAGAGTCGAATACTTTTTTTATATAGCTATTTGAAGAGAAGTTCACTTTGCTTGTGTAGTGATGTAATCGAACTAACCCAGTTTCCTGTCCTGTTAGGTCTTGAGTGAGCGCTGGGCGGCAGTGTGGACATGGGCTGAGGAGTGGAAAGAGAAGTTGAACCAGGCCCTTGTCGACTGGAATAAATTACGTGAAGAGGAAACAGTATTGTTGTCATGGCTATCAAGTAAAGAGCAAACACTGGATGTGATTGCCCAGACTGACATCACAGATGACGAACAAGTTAAAATGCATTTGAATCTGCTAGAGGTACCGTATGATAACAATTACTCTGTGAAAACAGGAAAAACAATCGAATTAACTTAGTTGTTGCCTAGATCAGAAGACGCAATTCCAAAGAAATTGTTAAAATCAATAGCAATTTCGTTAGTTTGTTTGCTCTTGTTATTGGTACTGGTATTGTTGCTTATTTGTTTGTTTTGAATATCAAGTTATCCACTAAAATGTACCAAACTCCAAGCAAGCCCATTTAGTACGATTCTTATAAGAGGTATCCATGTTTTTTTTATTTATTTATTTATTTATTTATTTTTTTTTGACATCGAGTAAGACCCAAATATTATTTAATGGCTGTTTTGCAATAGGCAGGCACTGTGGTAACCGTAAATGCGTGGAGAGTGAAGGGCGTTCGCATCAGCTTTTCAACATCAGTCGTGTATTTTATTCAAACATCTATTTAATTATTTAGTAACAAACATGAACAATGAACGACGTTTACTTTTCTAACAGACAATGGAACGCGAGATGGAGACACAAGGAACGCGTTTAGGTTCGCTCCACGAGACTGGAGAACAGCTCATCAAGGATGCTGACTATCACAATTCGACTGCTAAGGGAATCCGAGATCAGCTGGATGACTTTGATGGATGCTGGGCGGATATCACTAAATCGGTCAAGGAGAGAAAAGAAATGGTTAGTAATAAAACAAGAACTAAATTATGAAAGGACCGAAATATACAGTAAAATCCCGATCTGGTTGGTTTGTAATAGTACTTGGACTGAGTGGAGTAAGATTAAAGGAGTAATTGGGTGAGTAATTTCAAAATCAGACGAGCGTGAAGCGGAAGGCTGACTCGAAACTGCGAGCGCGATTACTCCCTAAATTGTATGACACGTACGAATTACGGGGTATCCGATTACAATTTTTTGTAATTGGCCACCTTTAATTAGACACCCACGTGATCGCGCTCCGATAACGTGACAAACTGGCGCTCGAAGAACCAATCACGAATAGATATGGTTAGTTCAAGTATTGTAAGTTGGAAGTAGCGGTGTTAAAATTACAGTCAGTGAAACTAATCTATACGAGTAATCGTTTGAGAAATTAAGAGTACAAGAAATAGGGATTCTACAGTGCTGTATTAGGCTTCCTCCCCACCCGTGCAACGCTCAAATCCGTTTCAGTCTACTCCCCTCTTAACCATTTTTGTTCCATCGATTTTGGCTTGTTATTTTCTCTGCTGTGTACCTTAGTAAAGTACTACTCAGTGATTTCCTACGGTTTAAGGGTAAGGTTGAACATAAAAACTGGCTTTATGGAAAAGTTCCTTGTTGTACATATCCCTGCAGCTTCAAGATGCCCAAAGCAAAGTTAAACAGATGGGAAACTTGATGAAAGAAGTTCGAGCTTGGTTGGACGAGGCAGAGGATTTTATCAAGTTCCTTCGTGAACAAAATGACCCACAAAAGGAAATCCAAGAAAAGATTGAGGTAAAAAGTACTTTCCTTTTTTTATTTAGTAAATAATAAAACAACACTAAGCGGGAAGGACAAATTTATCCAGGCAATCATGAGGATTGACTGGAAAAGGTCGCCCAAACGCGGAAGTTGCGTTTTCTAGGCCTAGGAGTTTACGTGCATCGTGAGTGGAAATATCTAAACAAGACATTAAAAATATATAAACTTATGTTTCCACATGAAAGGCTTCTTGTGTAATTGAACATTTTAAGCTCACCAACGAGACGAAACAATCCACAATTAACTCAACAATGAGACAAATAAAAATTCTGTGATAATGTTTAATTGAAAACGTAATTCCTAATTTAGCGGTCCGGCTTCATTCGAAACGGAAGGTTTTGTTGAAAAGCCACTGATTTCCAAGTATTGGAGATTTCCAAACATTTGAAAAATAACATAGTTAATATATGCTGCATAGACTTATAATCGTATCTGGAAATGGTGGATTTGCATGGATTCTCTGATTTTTGGAGAGCTTGTCCATATATTTTAGTTGCACTTTTGTTTTTTTTGTTTTTTTTTTATTTTGTTTTTATTTCAAAACGGACCCTTTAAAACTTGTCAGGGTTGTCTCCTTGTTCTAGCTCCTTCCATTGTTTGAATGGGCAAATGCGCCATTCTTGTATCATTAACATGATGTCAATCAGTTTTCTGTTGTTGTCTTGCAGCTGAAATGTGAAGAAAAAGAGAGAAATCAACTTAAAGTCGACGAGATCAACCGCCTTGAAGACGCACTCAGCAGTAACATCGACAAGACTTCAGACTATTACATGAAAAGAGTCACCAAGCCATTCCACAAGAGATGGAATGATGCGACAATGGCGTTAGACAGGTATCGCAACGAAGATTACCCATTCATCAAGCCGGACGACTGCTTTCTGATCAAATGCTTCAAGAAAGCCATTGTGGCAAATTAAGTGATTTTGGTAACAATTCTGTTGCAAAGATGTATATCATAGGTAATGGGGGTTACTATTTGGATACTATTTTGTCCAAGTTAGTCCATACAGATGGAAAAGCGTCTCCAGTGCTAGAAAACAGCAAAATGAGAGGAGAAAAGTCTTATTGAGACATGTTCCTTACAAGAGCTATGGGGACTTAGCTATAGAGGAGTTTCTGCATATCCAATAATTCTAAACAGCAGTTCATAAAACAAGACAAAAACATTTCTTTTTCCGCCGTGTTATATTAAATGGTTTTGAAAGTAGCCAGAGCTTGTGGCTTGTCAATTTGTCCTGTTTAATCGAATAGTAGGAGAAACGCTCTTTTCGTTCACAATATAATTGTCTGGAAAATTATCCGTATTCAGACCGGGCTTTTTCTGTTTTCTATAAACGTGTTCGGGAAGGGGCAGGGGGCGGAAGCCTCACGTTCGCTGAAGGACTAGCAATACTGCTTTTAGGTATGTAAATTACGTTGTATCTTTGCCACCATTTTAGATGAATATGAACAAACACCTTCCAGTGTAACCTCACCCAAACCGCAGATGGTCAAAATAGGTCTGAATTCTCTGAATTGGGAATCTTTAATGATTTGATAGCGCACCAGCTACTATTGGCTCGATAAGACCGGTTAAAGCTCAAATAAATTTAAATTCGCTTATCCAAGAATTTATAATTAACCGTGGCAAACTAATCAGCATCAGTAGAGTCTTATATTGCATCGTTGTCAATAAAGTACACATTTAAAATTTGGTGCAATTAGTGCTGTACAAAGTAACAGACTGTAGGCGAAAACATGCATTCTACCTGCTCATTTCAAAGGGAACAAGGTCACCCGGGGTACTTAGATTGTGTGGCAAGTTGGCCTGATTCCATTCTTGGCCAAAGTACTTTACGCTCGCAGTCTCGTATCCGACAGTAAATCGAAGTGGCTATGTGCCCCTCAACTTGGAAAATGGATCTTCTGTAAACAGTGGGAACTGTGATGCCACTGAACTAAGTTTTAATTCGTTGGTCATATATCATTTATCTATCGAGCTAGATACGTCACGTTTTCGTATCTTGAAAAGTTTAGCCCACATTTTTCATGTTCGTCGTATGTATTCCGTGTTAATCTTCTCCATCTTAACCATCCGTGCTTCTTTATGGTTTATTTTTATATCTTTGGTGTTTTTCTGTTTTAGTAAACTACTATATTTAGGCACCCTTCAGTTTGTTAAAGGTAATTTTTGCCCATGGCCAAAGTAACTCAAAATGCCGTGACTGAGCTCCTTAAGAAATAGTGCAAAACGCAACTGTAAAAGAATAATTAAGGAGAGGTTAAACCACGAAGTCAATAAGTCATCCTTGTCCCAGATGATTACCACAAGGAAAGAATGGCTTCTTATCCAGTCACCAAAGCTAAACTTGGTACTGAACGCGCTTTACGTTACCACTACTATCACGAAGGTTTGTGAAGGAAAAACCATGAAGACTTTCCTTTACAATAAAATCGCCAAGAAAGAACCATAAGTCGTTTCCTTACAATCAATAAATCGTTTCACATTATAAATCTCGAATATAACTAACTTGACACGGTGCAAGTTACTGTGAAAGCCTTTTGTATACGCACAATTAGCCTTGATGTATAAGCTGTCGACTTTGTTTGATTTTAATTGAAGGACTATGACTCTGAAATAGAGCCGAAATATTGTAAAAAACCTTTCTGTATCGTAATAAACCAAAACTTTGTTTTCACCGATGTTGAGGCCCGAGTGCCATATATACTAAAGGCCTTTCTAACCTAGTTTGCGAGAGCCCTAATGGACAATTTCGACCCTCGGACATTTTTGTACGGACCTCGGGCCAATAGTCCCCAACACAGCCCTCGCACTCGATCAGTAAGAGGTTATTATATAAAAAAAAGCCTAAAAATCACGATTTTACACAGCGTGGTTTATCCAGTCGCTGAAATGGGATTGACAAACGCCTCAGATAATTTTCGTTTCTTGGTTGTCCAAAAAACCAAGCTGCATTGGATTAGCTAATTCCCAGTACTTTAGATAGGCTGTGATTGTTTAGTCGAAAATATAAGTTTTTATGGTCGGTAGATTAGTAGCTATTGTATATGCAAATTAACTTTTACGCCGTTTGCCCTTGTAAACCGGAATTCATGATCTCCTTACAATAGAATATTCAGGCAAAAAAAAAAAAAAAACCTAATTTCTGCGACGTCGATGTTTCAAAAATCGTGCAGTCCATGGAAGCCACATGTCTTATCAGTGAGAAAACCTACAGCTGTGCACTTTTTGGTTTAGAATCAGTTCATTTTATCGTTTTACAATTAGAATTGAGATCTCCAGTTACCGATATCTTCTGACTCGGCAGATTGAGCGTTCACAGAGACATTTGTTTGAAACAGCTGACATAGGTTTTTAGAAGCAATAATAACAAGTGATTTTTTAAATACAAACTAGCAAACAGTAAGCATAATTTTCTTAGATCATAGCCTGATAGTTCCCACATGTACATTGTAAGGTTATTTTTTGTACATCATTTTGAACCAACTAAAACGATTTTTAAAACCGAAGAAACAACTTAAAACTGCAGGCATTATTTGATGCGTGCTTCGTTCTTATGTCCTAAGAAAATCAGGTCTACTCAGGTCTAATAAATACAATAGACATTGGGGCAATTTTGTAGTTTCTACCCCAAATTGTACGGGACGGAAAAAGAAATTTTACGAATAAATTTAAGACTAATATAGTGTTAAGGCCACAAGACAAAACAAAAAAGCCTTGAAAAGACATTAATTTTGAAACCTTAACGTTCGTGGAAATTGTTTTTCGGTTAACATTTCTTACGGCTAACAGTTAAAATTTTCCAATTTTTTCGCCTGACGGGTAAATTTTTTGGCCAGTTTTACGGCTACTGTTAACCCCATTGAGATCATAGTACAGACTTTCTCAAATCCTCCCTGTTCTCAAAGAACTTCAAAGGCGCGAGGGTCGCGCTCGCGCTCCTCGCGCGCGAGTTTTGAGCTTCGTGGAGTCCGACCTCGGCTTTCGCAGCTCAGCTTGATGGTAAGTCTGGGCGGCTATATTTTATGCAGAGATTTACAATAGACTTCACGATACATGACGTTTATTTATTTATTTATTTATTTATTTATTTATTATTAAATTGATGTGCAAAAAAAAAAGAAAAAAAGAAAAAACAGATACAATTCAACTGCTAATACGTATACCTTACAGACTTTCTAGTCGTCAAATAACCGTTAAGCTAATTTGGATTTATAACACAAGTGCAGGGTATGTTTAAAAACCAATTGACTTTCGACTCAGCGGCAGAGGACCAGTTCTTCATTTTGAGATTACTCCCCTGTGTTTCCTCCACTGTTACGCGCTTATTGCCCAGTGTCGGGATTTTCTTGTCGTTCGTCTTGTTCTTGGCCAGCCCTCATTTTTCGCTGTTCAGCAATAACTATGACCCTATTTTGTCGCGATCCAAATATCCGATTTTCAAGTTCCTCTGCCTGTGCAGGGTTTTTTCGTGATAACAACTGGATTAAGCCTACCTGAAAATGTGTTATTCTAACAACGTAAATCTAAGGATTAAATTTAGAAGCGGTAGTAGCGTTACCAGAGATTTAACCACCACTCGTACATCGTTGGGGATTCTGTCCGTAAAAGAGTCCAGTATAATTAAACAAATATTGGTTGGAATAAAGCACAGAAAAATTGTGGGTATTTTGACGAGTGTCGTGTGAAAAGATTTCTTATTTTTGAGCATCTTCTCCTTGGTTTCCGAAGACACTCGGTTAGATATAATTTGTTTCCCGTTGCGACGGACCTCCTTGTAGATAACAGCATTAAAGTAAATCATAGCGGGGATTAAGACATATAGGGTAATAGGAAATTGTAATTCCCGATAAGATCAAAGGGAAAAACTATCGCAGCGACCCACACCACACCAGAGGCCACCATGAGACGAACTTCCGTGACTTGATTCTCATATGCGAAGGGGTGCATTATCGCTATAAAACGTTCTACAGTCATCAGGAATAAATGGAATAGCGATGCTAACAAACATGTCAGGCCTACAGCCCTTGACACTTCACTCAGGGTGCAAAACTGGCTATTGTGAGTCTCACCTTGGATTATTAAACTGTGGCTGGTGATTTGTAGCGGTTGAGTTACCAATCCCACCATGAGATGAGTTGTGGCTGAGTAGGCAAGAGTTATGTTTGACTTGGCGCGAAGCTGCCGTTTTGTCTTCACTGCCACAATAATAACTTGAGCGCGTTGAACAAAATGACAAGGTGACAGTTTATAGCAGTCATAGCGGTCGTGAAGATAAACACAGTGACAACACTCGATGAAGCATTTGCTGGATCATAAGAAGGACCAAGTGCAAAGTCAAAAGGGTCGGCGTTGTGCTTCACCATGCTGACTTTGCTAAGGGATGGACAAACGCCTCTAATATTTTTCGTTTTCTTGTTTGTCCATAAAACGAAGCTACAACGGAGAAGCTAATTTCCTGTTCTTTAAATGGTATGGTTGGTAAATTATTAGCTATTGTACGTACAGTTTGTCTTTTTCGTCGAGTGTTTGCGTAACCGGAATTTATGATCCCTTACCAAAGAACGGCTGGAAGCGAACTAATCACTGCATAAAGCAAATATCGTCAATATTTCAAAAAAAAGAAAAACACACACACACTCACACTTTCAGTCTGTGGAAGTTACAAGAGAAAAGCTATCCGAATAAGCTTCAATACACTTTGTTGTTCAATCAGTTTTTTTTTTTCCTTACGTTTAAAAAATCGCCCGGATCTTTTAATTATTCGATAGCGATTGCCTTTTAACTCACAATTTGCTTACCCTTGTCGAACTTTAAGTTACCACTAGTATCACGTAGGTCTGTGAAGGAAAGATCATGAAGACTCTCCCTTGCAATCGAATCGCCAAGGAAGAAACGTAATTAAGTCTTTTCCTTACAATCGCAAATCGTTTCACCTTCTACCTCTCGAATATAACTAAGTCGACACGGTGGAAGAGACTGTGAAAGCCTTATGTACCGGTCAGCGGAATGTTTGAAATGTCTAACAAGGAGTGAAGGAGTGATGGAGCTAAATCGCTCTACGCTACAACATTCATTCAACTTGGAATTCTGGTGAAGAAAAGAAATACCTGATGAACTTTTAGTAAGAGTGGAGCTAACGTTTCACCTCCTCTCCCAGATTCGTGTATGCTACGTAAAATGCGTTAAAGTGGCTGGCAACAGTTTCCAGCACTTGGTCGCAACACCTTTACCTCAGAGAAAGAGTCATTAACCCATGTAGTGATAAGTTTATGAACAATGATTTTAAGCAAATGCCCAGTCATTGCCGAACAAGTTGTAGTCATTTATTGACATGCATGGTCACCATAGCAATAGTGCAACATTGTAACACCCTTTATTTTAGCTTTAATTAAGTGGGTGGTCTCATAGCTTATGGTACAGCCGGACGTCAGTATAAACTGAGTGTCTCAGTTTAGCGGTATCAGAGTCAGCTTAACTATTTCAATTTTTAAAGGTTTCTTTGAACCCCACCTTTTTCTTGATCCACAAGGGCAAGTTCTTTGTCGTTTCACCACTACAGGTAATTTGATTCGCAGGAGCTAAAACTTGATTTTGGGGGTTAACAAATCTCGTATGTCTTTGACGAGGAAAATAAATCCGTGAATCATAATATTCACGATTTATTAGCAGACGCGGGGCAGGTGGCCGACGACATTGGCACCTGTTTATCTTAGCCTACGCTTTTCCAAATTGCTGGATTTTAACAACCGAATTGCTAAATAGTGCCAAACAGCAGCTTAAAAAATACGTTTTCTATTTTCCAAAGGAGCCGATATAACTTAGAAATGCATTTTAAAGCAGAAATAGGATAGCTATCTACAGAAAATCAACAATCGTTCAATCGTTCCGAAGCAACACCAAAGTCACAAAGTGACACAATTATGTACGAGGCAGAAACATTGTAACATTTAGGTCCCGCTCAGTTTCTCATGTGCGGAAAGACAAAGGAAGGATCGATGTCCGTAGATATTTTCATGTTAGTTACATCGAAATAGCAAGCTCCATTCTTACCTTAGATCGACCATTTTGCCCTAAAAAGCTTATTCTAAAGCTAAGCAAGAATTAAAAATGTTGCATCAGACTCGAATTTTATATAATAAGCTTAGCTTGCGAAAAAAGCAGGAGCGAATAAGGAAAACTTAAAATCGTGTGAGGGCGTGGGACGAGGGGGAGTTAAACTCAGAGAAACGAATTCGAACCAATAGGTCACTCAGGTTGAGTGACAATATCGAATCCGAAGTGACTTCATTCGATGACGCATATGACTCCTCCAATGACTGCCATTAAATTCAAATCGTACGCGCCTTTTTTCTTAGGCAAACGAAAATTGCATCCTTCGGTAAATCATAGCATTGTTTTCGTGCTTAATCAGAACCCCTATGGACTCAGCCCGGCCACACTAAATTCTCTGATGCAATTCAGTACTTTTGTTAAGACAGTCAGCAAATCATAAGTTAATACAAAACATCACGTTGTAATTCTCGACCAATGAGAAGCCGACATTTTGAGCGTGGGTGCGCCCTGTGTCACATAACTTCAGGGCGTTGCACGTGCTAAAAATTGTATTAAAAACCTGCAAGGCGGTTATTTTTTTCACAACATCACGTCGATCGAAAGACAGGAACGTTGGCCAGAAAAATCCACGACTGCATCGCTGAACTGTCAACGCCGAGCTGCTGCAGCTACAGAAATGAAAGGATATAACCCACGCCGCCGTTTGGCAAACCAAATCGAGTATTTCCTGGACGAATACGATTATTATAATTTCGATCCTGCAGCCACGATGGTTTGTCAGTCCCGTAAAGGAAGATCAAAGAAGGAGGCGAGTTTGAATACCAACAGGCCAAACCCGGCAGGCCACGAGAGGAAAGTGTTGACCAAACTTCAAAATACCGAGAAGAAGAGGAAGACGGCCACTGTGAGAGCTTCTAGGAAGTAAAGAAAACCGGGGAAAGATTCTCTACCTGAGAGGAGACAGAGATTTAACAACATTATCGGGACGAAGTTATTGTTACACGTTTAATTTCCTGTTATTAATGTATGGTGAATTTGATGGACTTACCGCACGTAGCGTTTCA